CCCAGCGGGGCTCGGCGGGCGGGTGTCATAGAGAGCGCACCTGGGTGAGCTAGAGGGGCACCCATCTTTGTTTATTCTATTACCCCCCTCTAGCGGTGGTGGTACTCAATGGAGAAACAGGTGGGTCCTGAGAGAACAAAACGGGGGTAGAGGGGGGTTGCCAAGGAGAGAAATTGAGGGTGATAGAAGAGTAAAAAACAATAGCGACGGCAAAAGTTAGGAAAGAAAGGAAATAAAAAAGATGTAAACTCTTGTTGTGAGCCTACAGTTGAGATAGGCATTTTCACATGGCTCATTCTTGCTTAATTATTCAAAAATGACAGGAAACTGAATCTGAGAGATTAAGTAATTTCAAGATCATATAGCTAAGAGGCATAACTGTGCTCTGGTTCCAAAGCCCATATGCTTATTTATTACTGCCCTTCCTCTCCACCTTCCCTTATCACTCAAGGGAGATGTAGCCCTTCTGTCCAAGACCACTGGCTCCTCTAGAAATCCTGATTCCTCCTAAAATGACCAACCTAGGTTTGCCTGGACTAACGGGGTTTTTTTGGAATGCAAGGCTTCAGTTTTAAAACTGAGACAGTCCCAGGGAAACCAGGATAGTTGGTCACCCTAATCCATACCCACCTGCGCTGGGACCTAACTCCATCAGCAATCCCCTCTTCTCTCTCATTTTGTCTCCTCTTTCTTACCTCTGTCTTTTCCCACAGTGATGCCACTGTTGTATCCTCCTTCTGACCCTCTAACCAATCTCTTTCACCATCCCTAGGAATGCTCCTACTGTTTCTGCCTTTAATAGTCTTCTTTTCTCACTCTTCCTACAAATTCCCCTTTGGCAGTAGCCTTCACGTCATCAGTTTCAACCAGCATCTCTTACTTATTATCAATAGGGAAATAACTCTCATCTCCTATGCTGGGTGCCAGGTATATTACCCAACCAAAGAGACATGATGATTGCTCCCAAGGATCCTAGAGTCCAGTGGGGCATGTAGGCAAGGATACTGTAGTTACAATACTGCATGTCAAATACTATCAAGAAGGAACTACAGAGTGTCATGGGTGAAAAAA